GGGAGCTAGTTGAATTTCAAAAATATAGTCAATTCATTGGTGTAAAGTGGGTATTCAAGAAAAAGATGAACACTCAAGGAGAAATCGAATGATTCAAAGCGCGACTTGTTGCGAACGGATAGAAACAGAAAGCAGGAATTAACTATGACGAAGTGTTTGCACCTGTTGCAAGAATGGAGACAATTCGATTGCTCATTTCTCAAGCTGCTCAATTCAAATGGCCAATATTTCAAATGGATGTCAAGACATTATTTTTGAATGATGTACTCGAAGAAGAAATCTATGTCGAACAAACACTTAGGTATATGAGAATTGGAGAAGAGAAGAAGGTGCTGAAATTGAAGAAAGCGCTATATAGGCTGAAAAAAGCACCACGGGCATGCAACACACGCATTGACACATATTTCAAAGAGAATGGATTCGAGTAATGTCCTTATGAACATGCCCTCTATGTGAAAAAATGGAAGTAATGTATTACTTGTTTCTCTCTACGTTGATAACCTTATTTTTCTAGGCAGTGATGTTCAGATGATAGAAGAATTCAAGAGCACCATGACACGCGAATTTGAAATGATAGACTTAGGTCTGATGAGATTCTTTCTTGGTCTGGAGGTTCGACAAGAAGAAACTGGAATCTTTATCTCATAAGAAAAATATGCAAAAGAAATCTTGGAAAAATATAAGATGAAAAACTGTAATCCAACGTCGACGCCAATGGAACCAGGTGCAAAACTATCAAAATTTAATGGAGGAGAACGTGTCGAAGTAAGCAAATATCGAAGCTTGGTAGGTAGTCTTCGCTATCTCATATCCACAAGGGCATACATTTCATTAAGTGTTGGCATTGTAAGTCGATTCATGGAGGATTCAGTACACGCACATTAAAAGGCATTGAAACGAATCCTAAGGTACATCCAAGGAACAATGTCACTTGGAATGTTTTATTCAAGAACAAAAGACTACAAGTTAGTTGGTTACTTTGACAGTGACTGGTGCAGAGATATATACAATCGAAAAAGAACTTTTGGATATGTGTTCTTCATGGGAAACACTGCATTTACTTGGCTTTCTAAAAAGCAACCTATAGTAACACTTTCGACGTGTGAAGCTGAATATGTGGCAGCATCTTGGTGTGTTTTTGCCATGCAGTATGGCTTAGAAGATTAATGAGCAAAATGGAGCTAAAACAGGAAGGTGCAACTGTGGTACAAGTTGATAACAAATCAACAATCGAGTTGACAAAGAATCCAATGAACCATGAAAGAAGCAAACACATTAACGTTCTCTTCCACTTCATTCGAGAACATGTGAAGGAAGGAAGTGTCGAATTGAGGCATGTAGCAAGCAAGGATCAAGCAGCAGATATGTTCAGTAAACGATTATCGAAATAAATTTTTGACAGAGACAAGAAATTGATAGGCATGATGGATGGAAGAAACATTTAAAATTACAGAGGAGTTTTGTTGAATAAACTTTAAATGTTATTAGTAGTGAATTTTTTATTAAGTAAGGTAGTAGGAAAGTTAAAAATCAAATGTAGTTTGAAATGTTAAGAGATAGTGGATTATAATACTATTTACTAATAGCATTTACTTTTCTAGAATAGTAGAAGTTTTTAAATTTATATAAAGATTAAAATGTATTAACTCCACAACAAAATGGAATTGAAGAAAGGAAGAATTGAACCATCATGAATATGATGAGAAGTATGTTGAAAGGCAAGAATTTACCTAAAGAGTTTTAGGGTGAAGCTGTTTCGAATGCAACATACATTTTGAACAGATGTCCTACAAAGAAGCTAGAAGGAATTACTCCAGAAGAATGTTGGTCTGGTGTGAAGCCTAGCTTGAGTTATCTGAAGGTATTTGGATCTATTGCACATAGACATGTGCCAGATCAGTTGAGAAGAAAACTTGATGACAAGTCAAGTCAAATGATTCTAGTTGGATATCATTCGACAGGAGGCTACAAGTTGTTCGATCCAGTGAAAAAGCAGATTGTGATCAGCAGAGACATGATCATAGATGAGTTTAAAGAATGGGATTCAACTAAAAATGTCAAGAAAGATTCAGTGGGAATCCTTCTTGAAGAGCCATAAACTCAAGTCGAAAGAGAAGTTCGACAAGAGGAACCAGCAGATATACCAAGTACAAGCAGGCCTCAAAGAACAAGACGCGTGCCTACAAGATTGCAAGATTGTGTGATTACATCAGATGATATAATAGATAATGAAGGTGAGCTGGTACATTATGCTTTCTATGCAGATGTCGAACCCGTTAATGCAGCTGAAGCATTGAAGGATTCGAAGTGGGTGAAAGTAATGAACGAAGAAGTGAAGTCTATCGAAGACAACAATACTTGGTCACTTGTCGAATTGCCTTAAGGCAAGAAGGAAATTGATGTCAAGTGGGTATATAAAGTGAAAACGAATTCGAAAGGGGAAGTAACTCGACACAAAGCAAGACTTGTGGCAAAAGGATTTCTACATAAAGAAGGAATAGACTTCGATGAAGTTTTTGCACATGTTGCTAGGATCAAAACAATCAGGTTGGTTGTTGGTCTAGCAGAAATAAACAGTTTGCACATATGTCAGATGGACGTGAAGTGTGCATTCCTAAATGGACCCTTAGAAGAAGAATTTTATGTTAAACAACCAGTTGAGTTTGTGAAACATGACAAAGAAAGAAAGGTGTACAGGCTGCATAAAGCCTTGTATGAATTGAAACAAGCTCCAAGAGCTTGAATAAGAAAATTGATAGTTTCCTAAGGGAGAAGGAATTTGTAAAGTGCACAACTGAACATGGAGTATATGTAAGAAGAAACAATAGTGAATTGCTTATACTATGTCTCTATGTAGATGATTTGTTGATAATAGGTAGCTGTAAAAGTGAGATCGAAGACTTCAAAGGTGATCTCAGCAAGGAATTTGAAATGTATGATTTGGGTGAGATTTCATATTTCCTTGGAATAGAATTCTACAAGAGGAGTAGAGGTTTGATGATGCATCAAAGAAGATATGCAGGAGAAATTATCAAGAGATTTGAGATGGAAGAATGCAACCCAACTTCGACACCTGCAGAACAAAGACTGCAACTGTCGAAAGATGCAGATGAAGATGATGTTGATCCAACTCAATACAGAAGACTTATTGGATCATTGAGATACCATTTTCATACAAGGCCTGACTTAGCATATAATATAGGTATGGTAAGTAGATTCATGCAGAAGCCAAAGGTATCACACCTAGCAGCAGTGAAGAGGATATTAAGGTATCTCAAAGGAACTTTCGATTATGGCATTTTGTTTCCTGTAGCTGATAAAGGAAAAGAATCCAAGTTAGTGGGATACACTGATTCGAGTTGGTGTAGTGATGCTGAAGATTGAAAGTCAGCAGCAAGATATATGTTTATGCTAGGTGGTGCACCAGTTGCTTGGAATTCAAGAAAGGAACCAGTAGTGGCATTATCATCATGCGAAGCAGAATACATAGCTGCTTCTCTTTGTGCATGTCAAGCAACTTGGATGGTGAACTTGGTCGAAGAGATAACACGAAAAGATCATGGAGCAATTACCATGAAGATCGACAGCATGTCAGCTATCAATCGGGAGAAGAAGCCAATAACACATGGTCGAAGTAAGCACATCGAATGAGGTTCCATTATCTTCGAGAGCAGGTAGCAAATAGGAAGATGAATTTAGAACACTGCAGAACTGAGAATCAGATTACAGACATCACGACGAAGGGAGTGCAAGTCGAAGTATTCAGAAGACTAAGAGCCATGATGAACATAGATAGTTTAGACACAATGAATTAGGTGGTGTGTTAAATTGTAATTCAGTGTGTCGAAAAGATTTGATTTATTTTATATTTAAATAGACTTGATTTAAGTCTAGAATAAATTAGATTTGATTTAGTAACAAAAAGATATTTTGGACTTTGGACTTAGGGTGTAAGCTCAGTTATAAATAGAGGGAGTAACCCCTATTTTTGTAAGAAAGTAAACAAGTCATTCACAGTATTTTGCAGTTGCAAAGTGAATAATAAAGTTTTCACAGTTTGTGAGAAGAGAGAAACTCTGCAGAAATTAATTGTCTTGTCTTCTTTTCTTTGTTTTTCTCATAACTAATCGTCATTGTGGTAGAAATTCATCATAGTTTTTTGGTGGATTTCCAACAAGTTCGACACAAACTTTTTTTAAATTTATATTCGACTCATTTTAAATTTACAAACAACTTGATTAATTTTGTTAGATTCATCTTGTATGTTGGACTCGTTTGCTTTAAAGATTTATAAGATTTTTTTTTATATATTTAATATTTTAAATTAATATATATAGAGTGTGTTTTTAATATATATATAACTCATAAATCTAACGAGTCAAACTATATTAAATAAACAAATTTAATGTTTTTTATATTCAATTTATTTTTGTTTATGAATCAAGTTCAACGATTTAGTTGTGGAATTAAATTTCAAATTGTATTCGAATTAGTCTGTTTTATTGTCAACTCTTTTTTACTTTTTTAAAATATTATTTATATTTAGTAAAAATATATTTTTCTTAAAAATACTTAAAATAAAAAAGTTTAAATACAGTCTTATCAAAATTTATTGTTTGCTATAAACTTTTTAAAGATATTAGAGTTGAATAAATGATAAAATTATTTAAAATAATGATTAAATTGATAGTATAATTGTCATATTCAAAGAATCTTTCAAGTGTTATTTTTAACTAATATTGAAGACATTGATTATCAATATAGTGTTTTATATATTTTCCTTAAATTATTCGTTTTATTTTGTTCTAGTAGTTTAATAATTGAAATTCTGTTTAAAAAGTGAATGAATACGTGAGTGAGACGTTGCAGATTCAAATCAACACCTCATTTAAATAGTAGAAATCTGATTATTATATCATATCAGAAAATAAAATAAAGATACAAATATTATTTTTATTGATTTACGAAACATTGAATAGAATAATGAAGTGTTGAGCAAACTAGCCAGTTTGTCTGAACAATTTAACAATATCTCCTGCTATGGTTGCTACGAGTATGATTTCATTGTTGTTATCAGTGACGGGTGTTGGCTGGTTATCGATTTTTCTGCCATGAAAGTTATTCTCACATTGATTAGCTTTCATTACAACATCATTTGCAGCATCTATTGCAACTTCTGGATCTTCTCCTAGCACAGATCCTTTGGCGCCTCTCTCAACATTAGATGTTGCAATTTCTTTGTATAAATTAGCACATATCTTAAGTGAGTCATATGCACGAGTGCCAGGAGGAAAATCCTTCCCTGCAAGAAGTTTTTCGATTTTGGTTATGGTGTTCAACGCTTTGTTTTTCATTATATTATTAAACATGATTACTGCTAAACCATTCAGAGATGCAGCAGGGCTTTTGGGATCAGATTTCAGGTATTGGAGGCATTGGGCATTATTTGAAGTTCTTTTGCAAGTTTCTTCTATTAAATTATAGGCATTGTTTGGTTGGATAGTGCACAACATGAAAATGAACAATGTCAATGGTTTCAACTTTGTCATTTGTTTTAGAATTTAAAAAAAAGGAAGATACAATACAATGCTAGTTTGTAAGAGCAAGAGAGTATGAATGGAATGAATTCTTACTAGCAATCCACTTATATAATGCAACATTTATTGGCTTTAAATTATGTATACACTTTAGTCAAAGTCTTTCTTCTTTTTTTTTTTTATTGAAAAATATACCCATTCTTTTTTACTATAATTCAACTGTTTTAATTAATTCAAACAGGATCTCGTCTCTATATAAATAAAGGGATAAGATCAAATCACATATTAAGTGTCAAAAGTTTAACTTAACACTAAATCTCAATTGTTAATAATATTTGATCAAAAAGTTATATAAATAATATGTTTTTTAGGAAAAAAAAAGATTATATATTTTTTTATTATTTTATTTTATTTAATATGACTGTTTGATCAATTCTTTTAATGGTTAGAATTTGATGTTAAATTAAACTTTGACACTTTGGTGTTCTTTGATCCTATCCCATAAATAAATATATTATTAGTTTAGTGAACTAAAAAAAACAAATTTACTTATAATAGTTTTTATTTTATTTTTAAAAAAAAAAACATATATATATATATATATATATATATATATATATATATATATATATATATATATATATATATATATATATATATATATATATATATATATATATATATATATATATATATATGGGAACATAAACGGAGCAGCTACCCTAACAAAAACACCACAATCAAGCAAACCCAACAACACTAAACAACTAAAACAAAGAAAATTAAGAACAAAACTCGAGTTCCCTAGACAAGAAATACGAAACCGAACAACTGTCTCCACTAAAGCACTAAAGACACCGTAAAAAGACAACGTGCGTTCTTGTGCCGCTATTGGCTCAAATACAAGATAGAATTCTCAAGTCAGCCATAAAAAGCACATGAGCTACCCACAGACCTACCAAAATACCATTTTCAAACCAAGAAAATGCCCAAGTCCTCTGCGTCCTTCGAAGAAAATGCCATAAGAATCACTTAATTCACCATTTTCAAAGTACACCATATCATTCAGTGATTTCCAAATCGGCCAAATCACATAGATACCTATCTAATTCTAGACATACTACGAGTTGATAAAAAAACATCTGAAAAAGGGTCACAACCTCCCTAAATAAAACATAACTCCCCCTAACCATCTAAAAATTCTATACCAAATTGAAACAACCACATCACAAGTAACAAAGAGATGGGAGGATGACTCGGTGTCAGTCGAACAAAAAGGATAATGAAAATCCCCTAACCCCAAATGAATTCCCCTCATAAGTAAGATCACTATAGTATCAATCTTATCTTGAAGGAGTTTCCAAGAAAACACATCTACTTTGATGGGAGCCCAACTACTCCAAACATATGGGAGAACATTCAAAGCAGAAGAGAGTCTTGTGTATCTCTAGGAAGCTCCTGTGAAAGGAGAAAGATATAGGTAGAGGATATAACACATATTTATCTTCTCAAAGGGATTAAAACCACTAATAACCTAAATGAAATTAATAATCAAAGCATACTCGTGTTAAAAATATGGGTTCTTCTCCGCTTAAGGTCTCAAACCCACGATTGGCCCTTCCATTTACCAACCTCCCCTACATAACAAGAATTTTGCTCAGAGATAGAGAAGATGCTAGGGAACCTCACACCAAAAAGAGTGGCCCCCAACCAAGGGTCATTCCATAAAGAGGTGAAAATACCCGAGCCAACTCGCTTGAGCAAGGCCTCTTGGAACCAATCAGCAGGGTCTTCAAACTTAAACCCAAGAAGAGGGAATCCTTTCCACTAAGCTGAAGTTGATCTAAGACACCCATCCCTGCCACCTGAGGGAGAAGGTATAGAAATATAACCATATACTGCAATTAAAATATCATGCCAAATACTAGAAGTACCAAACAACAACCTCCATCTCCACTTACCTAATAAGGCCAGGTTAACCAACCTTAGATTATGGACACCTAGAACGCCCCAACTTCTCTGGCTTACACATTACATCCCATTTTACCCCAGACGAACAAAGAGCCCCTCTTGACCCCAGCCCAAAGGAACATCCTCTGAATCCTCACAATCTTATTCCACACCTTGATAGGCTTTTTCAAGAAAGACAAAAAAAAGATATAAGAATGGCATTAAGGACCAAGTCAAGGAGGATCACTCGTCCTCCTAAGGACACATACTTATGCCTCCAAGAGAGGAGCCTACCAGTCATGAGATTTACTAAGGGTTCCAAGTAAAGGCTAAGAGAGTATTGGCCCTTACCGGTAGGCCAGTGTACTTCAAAGGAATTGACTTTTGCTTACAATGGGCGAAGTCACAAGCAAGATCGAAGAAGGCAAGGTCACAGTTTAACCTAATGAGAAAACTCTTATAGAAATTCAGCCTGAGGTGGGCTCAAAACCTAGGAGAATTTCTTTGATGGCCCAAAGGTTATCAGTTGAGGCCTCAAGAAAAATGATCGTATAATCTACATACTGCATATAGGAGACCATAAAATTTGATGCTCCCACTCTAAGCCCAGAGAACACATGGAGCTCCACCGCTCTAGAAAACAACTCGCTAAGGCCTTCAGCTCCCAAGAAAAAAAGGAAGGGGGCCAGGGGATTAACTTGCTTAGACCCCATTTGAATATTGATTTCTTGGGTCGGTCTACCATAAACCAATACCACAAGGTTACCAGAAAAACTGAGGAACAAATCCAACCTCTCCACTTGTCATTGAAACCAAACCTTACTAGCATAGAATTAATGAAAGACCAACTCACTGAATCACAAGATTTTTAACAGTCCACTTTAAAGATGAGAAAAAGTTTTTTACTCTTCTTATCCATATCCACCAACTCATTTACATCTACCACCCAGTTTACTAAAAATCTCTCTTCAAGAAAAGTTGATTGATTAAGGGAGATGAACTTGTCCATAACACCAGAAAGTCAGCCCATTAAAATATTAGCTATGAGCTTATAGAGATACCCTACAAAATAAATCGACCTAAACTTCCTTAAAGTCGAAGGAGAATCAACCTTGGAAATTGTTCTAGACCGACTAAGTCGTTAGATAAGGGTCTCACTCCTTCCATAATCTTTTTAATTTACGAAGATTATCCTTTTAATGATCATCTAATATCTCAACCGTAAAGCATCCAACGACTCAAATATATATATATATATATATATATATATATATATATATATATATATATATATATATATATATATATATATATATATATATATATATATATATATATATATATATATATATATATATATATATATATATATATATATATATATATATATATATATATATATATATATATATATATATATATATATATATATATATATATATATATATATATATATATGTATATATATAAGGTGCTAAAATCAGGTAGGGGACTCCAAATACAATTTTTCATTCCACTCATTTTCATATACTAACTTGAGTGTTGGGGTGCTAACCCTGTAGGTCACCCACTCCACCGCATTGGAAGCCATGATCCTCTATCACTGTTGTTCACCTTCTCATTTATGGTTCCTTAACGAAACATTGACTCCGTCTGTGGCAAACAACTGATGACTCCTATGATTTTTGCAATTTCACATCCTTCCATAATTTTCACAGTTCATAAATTTTTCCGGTCATCGTAGCAAGTATTTAAACTAAAATGCAAAAATCAACCATTTTTTATTCAATTCGATACTACATCAATTTCCTTTCCTCAAATCTGCATTCAGTTCTTACTTTCATCAGTGATGGTGATGAGTGTTAAATTATTATGTTTTTTAGTATGAATAATCAGCACTCATCGGCTTAATTTGTTTTCTTTTTGTCAATAAACCTCAACTTTAGTATATATTCGGTATAGTTTACGTTATAGTGTATATATTACATTATCGTGTAAATTTCATTGATTTTATCTCATTTTTGTAGTTATTCAAGCATTGATATTTAGACATTGTTAGATAAGTCATTGAGTAAGCTTTCCAACGCTTCTGACCGTGCATAATTCAAAGTCACAGTTCTCAAGTTATGGCTGAAACAATGCTGAAAATTTCTATTTACTGTCAGTCGTCGCTCCTTGGTTGTCGGGTGATGCTGGGGTGCCCTAGAGGCGTGAAAATGCACTAAAAATTGTTGTTTTGAGCGTCGGGCGATGCTTTTTCGCATCAGGCGATGACCTCTGAGCAGAAACACCTTAAAAGGGCCAAAACACACATTTTTTAGATTATGTTTTGGGGTATTTGTTTCCAACTCATCAAACCTTCATTCTTGGTAGTTTAGTGCTTAGAAAACAACATTGGAGCTTGCACAGAATGATTCGGAGTGAATTTCTCATCTTTCAGTGCTGACAAACCAGAAGATTTTTTGTTCATTTCTCTTCCTCTTTGTGTATTATTCATTTATTGAGTTTTATATATTTATTTACTTTGAACATGTGTAAATCTATTGATCACGGTGTTGTATAAAACTTGCTTTTCAAATCATTGTTGATGTCTTTCTTGATCTTTTTGCTTTATGTTTAGATTTGGGTTGTTATAGACATATACCTCTCAAACATTGATTAGGTATGGATATCTATTAGTTTCTAGATTCTAGAGATAGATTTAGAGCTAATAATCATTGTGGATATCATAGTTTAATGCTTCTATGTTATTTGTGTTGCGTTGAGAGATCGTCGACGCAGGAATACAATTGTTCTCTCAATTTTGGTTAGATATAATCTAGGTTATGAGTGATACATATTGATATTGAGGAGTATCGTAGGTTGAGTATAACTGGTCGATAGGTTTAACTTTATGAGAAGTGGATTATATATGCTTGATAAGTCTCTTATCCTAAGAATGAATTCTTGTTTATGTTCATACCTTTTAATTCCCGCATTTACTTCAAACCCATTCAAATCCAAACTCATAAACGCGAGAAATTATCGAACGATAATTCACTTGCAATAATATTTGTGGAGAC